GGGAGAACTGTTGGGAGAAACGAAACGAATACTAAGGGGTAAATGGAAGAAATCGGTGGGGAAAGAAAGTGGGGACTGGGTTAGGTGAAACCACTGGGTAGAGGGGTAGGGTAGATACGGAGGGATGGGAGAAACCAAGCGGGAAGGAATAAAGTACCTGGTGGCTGTAGCAGGTGAAACGACTGGGTAGAGACCATAAAGAGATGGAAAAAAAACAAGTGTTTAAAGGGGGCAAAGAGAAATAAATGGAAGAAACCACTGGAAAGACAAGGAGGGGCTGGACTGGGTAAAACAATTGGGTATAGGGATAGGACAGATTTAAAAAAAAACAAGCGGGAAGGAGACTGGTTAACTGACAAGAAATGGAAGAAACCACTGGAGACAGGGCTGGGGGAAGCTACAGTGGGCAAAACCACCGGGTAGTCTCCACGGTGGGATAGCAGCAACCAAGTGGGAGAGGAGCAGGGAGGAGTTTTAGTGGGGGAGTCTATGGAAGACTGGGAGAAACCACTTGGGACAGGGTAGGGGGTGTGTACTAAGCAAAACCAATAGATAAGGGGGTTGGAAAGATTCCCTGGAACGATGGGAGAAACCAAGTGGGAAGGGGGGATACATGGAAGAAACCACTGGGAAGAGGAGGAAGGGAAGGGAATGGATGGAGGCAACCACTGAGGAGGGGTGGTTTGGGTGAAACCAATGAGAATATGGGGGGTAGGAAAGACCACAGGGAGAAACTACATGGAGGGAGTGGAAAGCAGGACCCCCGAGTTCTATCTACCCCAGATGGGGGTGGGGGGGGCATTGCTGAGAGCCCAGACACCTGGGTTGTCTCCCACCAGTCCCGAAATCTGCCTTTCTTGCAGCCACCACAGACCAGACCAGGCTTTAATGACTGAACTGGGCTGCAGCCAGCTCTGCGGTGGACCACGGCTATATAAAACAGGCTCTCCAGGCCTAGTATGACATCAGCCTGGGCAGCACTGCTTCCAGGGCTGCCCCCCCCCTCCACCACCAACAGGGTGGGGGAAGGGCAAGCAGGAGAGCCCAGGTGTCCTACTACCCTTCCCCCCACTCCCATGCTGGGGAGAGAAGCCAGGTGTCTGAGCAACACTCAATGCCTTAAGAGTTTCCCAGTAGCCCCCTCTCCTCAGTGAAACCCTGGCAGGACCCCTGGGTGACCTCTGACCCCCCAGAAGCAGAGAATGAACCCAGGCGTCCCACTGGGGCCCACCACAGCCCCCTCCCTACCCCACCCAAGGCCCATCCCACCTCTCCCCATTTCCCCAGGCAAGGAGAGAGAATCCAGGCATCCCCAGCTGCCCTCGTAGGGCCCAATAGGGCCCCCCTGCTCACAGTGATGCCACAACAGGGGGGGAAGCCCTCCCCCAAATTTACTGGGGGCAGGAAGCCCCACCCCTGAAGCATCAGGGAGAAGAGGACAGAAAGCCCCATCCCCAGAGCTCCAAGAGAGCCAGGAAGCCCCAGCCCCCAGGCTTCAGGGAGATAGGGGGCCAGAAACCCACGTCCCCAAAGCCGGGGTGGAAGCGGGGGGGAGGTATGCCAAGAAGCCCTGGCCGAAGTGCTCAGTTGGGGGAGGGCAGGAAGCCCCACCCCCTTCCAGGAAGAAGTCCACTGCACCTGGCTTCTGCCTCAGGACCAG